TAAAAATACCTTAATTAATTATATTATAAGTAATACTGTAATTAATGTTTGAAATATATATATAAGCTAGCAGTTAAAAAAAATTAAAAAAATAAAATCCATTTTCTAAAACATCTTTAATTCTTTAAAATATTTTAATCTTTTCAAAACATACAACCTAACCTAGTTAAACTCAATTCTAATATGTCAAATTTAGAAAATTTTAACACTTTACCTGAAGAAGATTTAGAAGGCTTGGTGGATGTGGAAATGGAAGATTTAGATGATATAGATAATATGGAAGAAATAGATGAAATGGAAGACATAGAAGAAATAAAAGATGCAGAAGTTTTTACAGATATAGATGATATTGAAAATTTAGTAAACATAGGTATAGAAAATAAAATCACTAATATAAGTGAAATACCTATAGAAATTATTTCTACAGCAGGCAATAGTAACAAGGATAGATCATCACCTGTATGGCAATATATATATGAAAAAAAAAATAACGACAATAAAGTAATAGCAAGAGTATGTGCAATTTGTGAACAAAACTATAGTCCAACTACAAGTACTAGAATTTTAAATAGACATCTTAAAAATAAACATAACATTATACTTACTTTGAAAAATAGTTTATATTCAACTAAAATTCCATATGGAAAAGAAGATATTGAATGTAAAAAAGAGTGTTTTAATGCTATCTTTAATCTTATAATTGGTGCTCAACTTCCATTCTCATTTATTGAACATCCTTTGGTTCGTGAAATGGCAAAAGTATATGATCCAAGATATATATTACCATCTCGTAAATATATAACAAAAGTAACTATATCTAGATTTGAAAATCGTCGTAATCTTCTTGCAAAAGAACTTGAAAGCCTTACTACCAAAGTAGCACTTACTACTGACATTTGGAAATCAAGTGCAAATCAATCATATTTGGCTGTAACTATACATTACATTGATGACAAATGGAAAATGCACCATTTTTTGCTTGATCTTATCCACTTCAAGTCTAATTATACTGCATTGCATATAAAAGAAATCCTTCTAAATATTTGTAAAGAAATGAATATTAGTAATAAGATAATAGCTCTAACAACTGATAATGCCCCATCAATGATTTCATGTGGAAAATTAATAGAGCAAGAATGGAATATATTTAGATTTCATCACCATCATTGTGCAGCTCATATTCTTAATATTGCTGTAAAACATAGTATGAAACATCAAAATATAGTAATTGATAAAGTCTGGCAATTTGTAAATAAGGTTCAGAAATCTCCAATTTTAAATGAAAAACTTCAGGATTTCTGTACATTAAATCATAAAAAATATAATAAGTTAATAATTGATATAGCTACATGATGGAATAGCACTTACTATATGCTTGCCTGATTTAAAAAATTACAAGATGAACTTAATCTTCTTAAAACTGCATATTAAGATCTTGAAAGCAGTTATCCTACAAAAAAAGAATGGAATAGCATTGATAATATGATTTATTTACTTGAGCCAATACTTGATGCAACTGAAATACTCTCAAAAAGTTCATATCCAACTATTGCAGATGTTCGTTTAACTTTTATAGGTATCTTGCAATACATCAACAATTTTATAAATAATAGTTTATATTCAAAGGAGGAATACACTATGGCAAATTTTATTAATGATACATTAAACAAATATTGGAAAATTCTTGATCTTAACAACTCATCAAAAATAGCTACAATTCTTGATCCAACATCTAAATTATTAACATTCCAACTTTCTAATGAGAAAGAGGCTGCTATTATGTATTTAAAAAATATAATAACTCTATATGAACCTTCAGTTTTAATGACAAGTAGTGTCTCTACATCATTTAATGATAAAAGAAAAAAATTTATATCATTGATATCACAGCAACAAATAATTGAACCACCAACAATAAGATCACTAGTAATAGAAGAGTTAGAAACTTACTTGTCTTTACCAATTATTGAAAGTGGTTCTCTTCAGTGGTGGGCTGATCATAAAAATAAATTTCCAATACTTGCAAAAATAGCACAAGATTATCTTGCAATTCAAGGAACAAGTGTTTCTTGTGAAGAGGTTTTTTCTATTGCATCAATAACAATTTCAAAGCTTCGTAATCGTCTTGATCCTGAAACTGCTCGTGTATCACTCTGTTTAAAATACTGGATGAAAAATGATGTTGGAATATATAAAAACAAAATACCAGTAAATTTGAATATAG